CGGGACTAACATATGGTTTAATTCTATTTCAATAATTCGCTTGCGCGTAGGGGTTCTTAGCAGTGGGAGGACACCGGAGGACCCGGAGAAAACCCACGAAGTTGGACAGGCGACCCTACTCCTTGTCACGTACAACCGAGGATTCGAAACCACGCCAGTTGACTCAATGATACAGCGCGATCGTGCTAACCATTCGGCCATACAAGGTTGGACAGGCAACCCTACTCTTTGTCACGTACAACCGGGGATTCGAAACCACGCCAGTTGACTCAATGACCGGCCTTATCATACAGCGCGCACGTGCTAACCATTCCACCATCCAACCCCCCTTAAAAACATAAAGTCATAATCATTAAAAAGAGTGTAAAATATGATAAATTGCCCTATATATCTGTATTAAACTCATTCTGCACACATAGATCCATCTACTCCATACTTCGAGAATAGAACTCTGCCCTAAATGACCGCCATAGCCATATCCAAATACATATTAGTGTACTGTTTTGAAGTAATGCGGTTCTACTCCGTTTCACATGTCATACATACAAAGACTAAATAAACTTTTTCCATTTTATTAAATGGAAGCAGAAAAATAGATAAGGAAATTCTCGAAATGTACTGTGTTTTCGACTACAATCGACGATTTAGTATCTAAAATGTCGGTTAACTAGCTTAGTGTTTGTTCCCAAGCGGAGCTAACTGTAGACAGACAACCCAAATTTAGTATTTATTAGTGTATGTTAAACTGTCTTGTATATCTATATTAAAGTATGTTAAACTGTCTTGTATATCTATATTAAAGTACATGTATGTTAAACTGTCTTGTATATCTATATTAAAGTATGTTAAACTATCTTGTATATCTATATTAAAGTACATGTATGTTAAACTGTCTTGTATATCTATATTAAAGTATGTTAAACTGCCTTGTATATCTATATTAAAGTACATGTATGTTAAACTGTCTTGTATATCTATATTAAAGATGTGAAACTGTTTTAAACTGTCTATATTAAAACAAGACTATAAGCAGTTGGAGTAAATATTTATAGTTTAATATAAACAAAGAGTATGTTACTTCCTTGTCTTAAGTTTTGGCATGTAAATGCCGAGGAGTTAAATAGAGTAGCAATGAAGAGGTTAGAACCACAGTAACAGTACAGGATGTCAATTAAACCATCTTTTTTATATTCTTGAAACAATTATAGAGAGATAAACACAGGCTACGAGTGTTGAATACACGTGTTCTTCATTGTGTAAAAAGTATCAACATATTATAAACGACTTTGTACAAGTCAGTTGGATGACCGAATGGTTAGCGAGTGTATCATAAGGTCTGTCATTGAGTCAACTGGCGTGGTTTCGATTTCCCGGTTGTACATGATAAGGAGTAGGGTCGTCCGTCCAACCTTGTGGGTTTTCTCTAGGTTCCCTGGTTTCCTTTCACTGCTAAAGACCCCTACGCACAAGTGAATTATTGAAATAAAATCGAACCCGACTTTGCACTATGTCGATCGTCAGATTATACCGGTAATTACCTATAGCTGTAAGTAGTGGCAGGTATTGTGCACAAGGTGGGTATAACTTGGAGAATAACATCCGATACCACTTAGGAAGTTCCCATAGGTACACTTTCTGTTCTACTTTTGTATATATTGAACTGTGCCAAACTTAAAAGAAAGGGACTAATTCTCTAACTCAATATTTTCCATAACAATACGAATTAGAATTCAATATCACCGCGCCCTCACAAATTGGTTAAAGCAATATTGAAAACACAGAATAACAATCAGAGAGTTATCGAACCTAATATTTGCAGCAGCCAACTTTATTGACACAGTTCACCAAATATTCCTCCACCGTCATCAAATATTCCTCCGCCGTCACCCACGAAACAAGTGCCAAAGCTATTTTTAGTCTTTCTCTCCTTTCCCTTTTGCATGGCGATTTTTGTAGACTTTTTGGTGTAGAATCGAAGAAAGGGTTTGAAAATACATTTTCTGCCAGGTTTTTATGAATATTCTAAATTTTGAGGCGGAAGGATACAAGAGTTGAGAGATTGGTTAGGTTGAAATGTAGGGCCGAAAATTGCATGTTAACTTTTCTTTACTTCCACCTTGTGTATCTCAAGTTTTTTATGAAGAACCTCATACGTGCTTTTGGGCTAGAGGTTGCGACATGTTGCTCCATCTGTGGAAGAGAGCGTTCTACCTAACGAAACTTTGGGAAAAAGGTTGAGCCAATCAAAGAGAGAGAATTATCATTAAAGTAAATGGGGAAATCATTAGTGATCTGTGGTCTTATTTGCGTGATATACAAGATATTATAGTTTTCGGAATGACGTGCAAGGCTATACAGAAGTAAACTATAGCATCTTGATAAATTAAAACAACCAAACAGATTAATATATTGCAGCGATGATATGTTGCATCCTGCAGTTGTTATTTGTTATTGTTACGTGCTCCTCGGGGTTAATGCTGTTCCAAACTCTCACATATAAAGGTGCATTTACAGCAACGTAAATAGTCTGAACAGTCGAGCTCTAATTCCTACCTGTCAAATATTATAACCGGAAGTACCCAGCTGCTCCACAACGAACGGCTGGCAACCTAGTGATTGGTCCCATTCTGCTCTCCGTCAAGTTTTCTTGACAATGGTGCGAACCATATGTCCAAACAAATTCGATTGTGGAACCTGGGTTCTGTACCAGTGAAGACAAACAGCAGTCATTATTTACCATTAATTTGTGCAGCCCCCTTTGTTTTTACCCCAACTCGTTATCGTATTTTGCGGAAATTGATCTTTTGTGTCGATGCCCAATCCAAGCGTAATGTTTTGTAATTTCAGGTTACATTTCTAATCAGTTCGAAAATACAATTGTGACAAGGTTGGACCACTACAATCCCCTTATAGGGTCGGGGTTGGATTGGATAGCCGAAGGGTTAACACACGCTTGTTGCATCATAAGGCCTGTCAATAAGTCAACTGGCATGTTTTCCATTCCCCGGTTGTACGAGACAAAGGGTAGGGTCGCCTGTCAAACCTCATGGGTTATCTCCGGGTCCTCCGGTTTCCTCCTACTGCTAATGACGCCTAAAATTGAACTTGTTTGTTAGTCCCGAGTGGACGTTAAACCCAATATCTCCCCATACCCCTCTTCTTAGTGGGTCTAAATTTCTGACCAGTAACAGCCCTTAACGTCTTGTCAACATGAAATCTTGGTCAGTTTGAGACACGCATACGGTAATATTATTGTTACATATTCAACTGAAAGTGTGTGAATTTTGCCTGGACAGTGGCGTGTCTTAGAATCCAAACTGCCAAAGATTGTTTTATGCTCACGCCTATATGTTCATTGTAGGACCTCGGATTTTCGTCTCATCCGACCGACTAGGTATAGTCTGATTGTCAGTCTCACAGAAGCCACCCTTTAGATGCGTCATTTCGGGACTAACAAACAAGTTCAATTTTATTTCAATAATTCGCTAGGGCGTAGCGGTCTTTTAGCTGGCCCTACTCCTGGTCACGTACACGCGGGAAATCGAAACCACGCCACTTGACTCTATAACAGACCTTATGACGAAACGTGCACGCGTTAATCCCCCCTCCCCTTAAACGAAATAACGCCGTTTTAGAAACAAATTGTAACAGATCTGGGTCAAGGGTGTGGCGGCGTATCACGTTCAAAATGCGACCTAGAAAATAGTAGAATTCCGATGATTTAATTTTGAAAATGTGGAATTCTTTTGCATAAATGTATGGGTTTTCACCAGATAAATGTCCTTTTTCGATAAGAAGCTTCTACTGTCGATCGCATTTTGATTTTCTACTTGCTACTGTCGATCGTATTTTGAACCGTCTCTCGTACAAGTGATGAATTCTATACATTGTGGTAATTTACTATTTGTAGGTAGATTGTAAATATGAAGTAAAAAGGTAAGTAAAAACACCGTATCAAACTAATGATCAATTTGGTTTTGGTGTCTGAACAAGGTCAGTTGAGCGTATAATAGTAATAATAATAAACGATTCTACACTACTCTGTGGAATCTTTTACCATAAGGTACTTTCATTAACAATTATCCAGAATACCATTTCTCTCGTTTCATACATCACGATATTCCGACGTGGTTTTCCCTTGTCAGTTGTGCAGGATGGAGGGCCTGACAAGGACAGCTGTCTAGTCGTTCGGATGGAACGAAAAACCGAGATCCCTTGGTACGGCCTATGCCCGTCTTCATTAGCCCACCCGGAGCAGAACAGTGGGACGTTAAACCCCATTTCATTAACAAATATCTAGAATACGATTTCTCTCGTTGCAAGATAAGTACACCAGATCAATACGGGGGGGTTGTATGGCCGAATGGTTAGGATGCGCGCGCTGTATCATAAGGTCTGTCATTGAGTCAACTGGTGTGGTTTCGAGTCCCCGGTTGTACGTGGCAAGGAGTAGGATCGCCTGTCCAACCTCGTGGGTTTTCTCCGGGTCCTCCGGTTTCCTCCCACTGCTAAAGACCCCTATGAGCAAGCGAATTATTGAAATAAAATTAAACCATATGTTAGTCCCGAAATGACCTAGTTTGTGTCGAGTGGACGTTAAACCCCATTTCTCTCTCTTTATTCAAAACAGGAGTTTCTATCTTCAAAGTATTAGATTTCATCAGGTCAAGGTCGGTGATCCTAGTACTAACGATTACTCTATTTAGCTATAACCTTAGGGTAGGTGTCGTGCAAAAACAGAGTATGCTGTTTTATCAGAGAACATCCGATATCACTTTGAATTAGAGGACTTCACATAACTGCAACTTTTTGTTGTATGCACGCGTATACATTAGCCTGCACGTAAGATATCCCTTGTCAATTGGAATTCGATATAAGAGTATGCCATAGTACCGCTGCCCGGGCAAAATGTCCCTCATAGTCCAGTATAGTAGGATGTTAAGCCTCATTTCATAAAGAATTTTTCTGGACGAATGGGGGTAGAATTAAATCATTGAGTAAGATTGAAGACTTTATTCAAACACACTATTTACAATTATACAAAATACACAGACTGATGTATATCAATAAAACTGATATATACAAATATATACATTAATAATAATAGCACCAAACAGATGAATTAAACTAATTCCGGTTTGAAAAATTAAAGCACAACATCATCAAGTCGTGAAATATACTATATTCGTCCGCTGTAACTGGATTTCGGGATAGAGGGTCTGACAAGCTACAACGTATAGTAGTTGGGACGAAAAACCTTGGCGTGCACGTAAAAGAACCCCTAGCAATTGGAATTTCATATAAGAGTAGACCATGGTGCTGCTATCCGCACAAAATTTCCCTCATAACACACTGTATGGTGTAAGCCCGTCTTCATTGACCCCGTCGGAGCAGAACAGTAGGACGTTAAACCCCATTTCATTTCATGTAATTGGAATTCGTAACAAGTCCTCTAAAGCTTTAAAATGTATCAGCACCACAATACTGTTTAATATACATAACAATTATATTAATTAAACTTATGATTAGGTCAAAATTCAAACATTATAAATATGTACATAGCCATTTTGATTATTCTCTCCTGTTATTGTTGGATATATTCTTTGTAATATTCAGTGATATAAAATGACGTTTTAATCCAGGAAAACAATGAAGAATTTAATTCATCGCATTTCTATGTCGAATGAAATGAACATATGGATATATTTCAAATTAAAAAATAAACAATAATTAATTATTAAACATACATTACGCTAGAGCTAAATCTGCTTATTTCAGGTCTTTCTTTAGGCCGGCCTTAAATGTTATATAAATTATTAATTAGACATTTATTAACATGAACAGACCTTAATCAACTCTCGATGTCATCTTATGTGTCAGACTTTCACTGGATTTGAATCCGATCTGCTGCTCAACACTCATTGATGATTTAACCCAAAAATGGATATTCGGGACTATGTTTTTATTGTACCGACTTGAGTTATAATAATCGAGGCTAGGCCTAAAATTCAATCGCTAATATCTCGGTTCAAAGTGGAGCAATGCGACTGATATTTTAAGCATGCCCCCTTTACATTATCTAGTTTTTAACTATTATAGCGAGAACTGTCAGCTCTTTATCTAATCTCCCATAATGACTCTTTAGTCTTATTCACAGTTCACATCTCATTGGAGAGAAACAGCACATTAATTACTGCATCCAAAGTTATGGGGACATATAACCCACAAGAGCTTTTTATATTTAAAAAAAAAACACATTTCACAAATTATATAGCACTCACAAAATATATACACCATAATCTATGTACACTATGGATGAAGATAATCCGGGATTACGCTGTGGGATTCTCTACAATGATGTCACTGTCCAATGTTTTTAAAGATTTGATATATTTATTGTCGCTAGGAGATAAAGGTTTCATAAATTTATTGTCCGGATATGGACTTTTATTGTATTTGTTATCCGGATGCATCCCTTGTTTAAGGTATTTATTATCCGGACTGTAGGTGAACGGCTTCGACATTGGAGTGAGAATCGGATTAGGACGGGTCAAGGACGCATTGTAAGGGTAACCCATGACGCATTCCTCTGGTACATTCCTCCAGTTATTGCCCCCTGTGTAATTGGGTCCGCTGAAGCGCATCTGGTCTTGCATCGGATGCCGTTCTCCCTGACTGTACACAGAAGGACAGGGACTTGATTCCTCGTCAGGTGTAACATCCAGCATCAAGAACCGTTTGTAATTCCCCGATTCGGACATCTGGTCGTTGGGGTCACCTTCGGATGAATGCTGAACGGAACTTCCCAAACTGTATCGATGTGGATTATCCTTGGACAGAACAGTAGTCCGCGGATAATTTGTATATTGGTTGGGATTGGGACTGCCTTGTCCACTGCCGTGTTTGGATAAGCATAATGTAGTGTTCGAGCTGTTGGAAACAGCCATTTCTAAAGCATTTCTTTGTTGCAACTTCTTTTGTTTCAAAGCTTCATTTTCATTTCTCTTTTGCCGTCTGCGTTGTATACACGTCACGCAAATAACAATGACGCTGATAGTGAAGATTACGCCCCCTACCGCCCCAAGGACAATAACATGAAGAGGTAACTCCGATTCATCTTCATTAGAACCAACTGAAACGAGAAAAATAAATCTGATATAAAAACGTGTTAAGAAATTATTTTAAATATTTGTGAGATTTATCACGATGTACGACACCCTTCAACAGCCTATATATCAAATCGTGCTTCTCACGCGACTCCATATTCTCCTTAAAGCCTCCATGCATCAACGAGCACATTTCAGACACGCTAAACGTGCTAAACAGTCGTAAAACACTGCGATAAAATCATATTTTAGCGTGACATAATACTGATATAATCAGTGAAGTTATTCATTTTGAGGTATGTGTCGTAATTTGCTGTTAAAATACATATGCGACTTGTTAGAACTTTAATTAAAAACTTAGTTCAACAACCACTTCATTATAAACTTGACATTCTCAAGTGAAAGTAGTTACTTATCGGATATATGTCACACACGTACCTTTGGCATTCTGACAGCCGCGCTCGTCTTTACCACTTCGACAGTTGGGAACCCCGTTACAAATTAGCTTTTTACTCAAACAGAGATCATCACAGCTAAACTCAGATGACAAGCAAGGCTTCTGGGCTGTAGATAAAATACATAATGAAAACATTATTGGATACACATGTGGTGTTTTGTTACATGTTAAACAAAATATATGAAATGGGTTTCAACGACTTTCTGTTAAACATTCGAGAAACTAATAAATTTTACGTTAATATTTCTTTAACAGAAAATATTTTTTTGATTTCGTGTTTTAGATAGTTTTCAACAAAATATGAATTTATACTATTTACAATGTGTCACTAAACATACATTATTCAAGAGCTAAATCTGCCTATTGCAGGTCTTTCTTTAGGCCTGAAATGTTATCTAAATTATTAATTAGACATTAATTTACTTATCCAGACCATAATCAACTCTTGCTCGATGTCATCGCTAGCCTGCGATGTTTATTGGATTAGGTTCCGATTTGCTGCTCAACGCTCATTGATGATTAAATCCAAAAATGAATAATCGAGACTATGTTTTTCTAGTAATGAAGGTCAAGGTTAGGCCTAACATTCAATTGCTAATATCTCGGTTCAGAGTAGAGCAATTTGACTGAAATTTTCAGCATATTCCCTTTATCTAATGTTCTACACTGTCCCTTTAATGTCTTACATTTCTACACCAACTGGGCTATTGAAGACGGCCATACATGTTACTTTGACTTTTCGTGCCATCCGGATGACTAGATGCTTTTGCTTACCAGTCTCTCCGTCCTGCACCACAGAACAGAAGGCCTGGCAAGGTACAGCGTATAGTCGTTCGGATGGGACGATAAACCGAAGCCCCGTGTACACATTGGCGTGCAAGTAAAAGATCCCTTGGCAGTTGGAATTCGATATAAGAGTAGGTCGTAGTGTCGCTGTCCGACAAAATTTCCCTCATAGCACACTGTATGACGTATGCCCGTCTTCATTAGCCCGGTCAGGAGCAGCACAGTAGGACGTTAAACCCCATTTCATTTTATTTCATTTCCGTCCTGCACCACTGACCAGAGGAGACAAGGTTGGAAACCCGAAACTTCTCTAGACGAGAGAGTTGATTACGGGCTTGACATGTGAATAGATATCTAAATAAAAATTCATATAACATTTGAAGCCAAACAAAAGACCAGCAATAGGCAGATTTATCGGTTACATACTGGCTCTTTAAGTAATTGTTCTGCATGCTGTTATTGAAGGGGGTGGTCTTACTTACCAACTTTACTGCCATCACCATATCCAGCAGCTGCATTAGCTGAAATAATATAGAGACACATGAATAGATGTGGCACAACCCTACAGGTACATAGCAGCATGGTCATTAATGCACTTTCTATATACCTAACTTATATGTATCGACATATTAATAGATCCATACACATTTTATTTATTGGACTGGGCGGTTGGGAGGCCGAGTGATTAGCGCGTGTGCGTTGTATCATTAGGTCTGTCATTGAGTCAACTGGCCTTTTTTCTATTCCCCTGTTGTGCGTGGCAAGGAGTAGAGTCGCCTGTCCAACCTCGTGGATTTTTTCTGCCGGTGCTCCGGTTTCCTCCCACTGCTAAAGACAACTATTGAAATAAAATTGAACCATAGTTTCGCAATTACCTAGTTTGTATCGAGAAGACTACGCCCCCCCCCACACACACACACACACTCTCTCTCTCTCTCTCACTCTCTCTCTTTCTCTCGCAAAATGGGCTAAAATTATTATATATATTTAAACTTCGCCCCCTACTCTCTTTCTCTCTCTCTCTCTCCCCCCCCCCCCCTCTCTCTCTCTCGCTCGCAAAATTGGCTAAAATTATCATTTATATATAATCTTCTAATTTATCATAACGTAAAGCTTACCTGCATTTTTCAAATCCGTCTTAGCTGAATTTAAAAAAAAATGTCGATTATTAATTCACTAAATATATTTTGTTTAATGGCTAAAACGACACAATAATGGGCTCAACCGTTTAAAATAAAATAACAAAACATAAAACAATGCGCTGGCTCACTTGTAAGGAGCAGAGTCTAGTCGTTCGGATGGGACAAAAATATACCTGGGGTCCCGTTATATACTCTTAACAGTTGGAATTCGATGAAGAGTAAGTTAGACCATAACGTCGCTGTCCTGGCAAATTTCTTTAGGAACACGACAAAATGTGAACTTGCCGAGCTCGGTTTTTGTCTCATAATATAGCACACTGTATGAAAGATGCCCGTCTTCATCAGCCCAGCTAGGACAGCTATCAAGTTCTTCGGTGTACACGTAAACGATCCCTTGCCAGTTGGAATTCGATATAAAAAAAGGCCATAGCGCCGCTGCCCGGGCAAAATGTCTCTCACTGTATGGCGAATGCCCCTCTTCATCAGCCCATTCAGTGCAGAAAAGTAGGATGTTAAACCCCAATTTCATTTCCGGCTGCGACCTCTGTTTTCATCATGTAACATCGAGCAAAACATAGATTAATTCTACAAAAGAATTTTAAAACCCCACGAATAGCTACTTACTTATTCTGAAAATGGAATAAACCAGTTTCAATTTAGGTTTAAGAGAAAGGCGTCGCCCATAAATTCTGATAAATATTCTGTTTTTAATGCTCTTCATTTCAATCTGACTACTGGAACAATGTTTCTTGAATCTATCAATCTGTCTAGTTGAACCTTTATACAACGCTACAAAATTCTCATCACATCGTTCTGGACTGGGTACCTCAAGGTTCAGGGAATTGATCGAAATCTACAATGTAAAATAAATAAATCTTTATATATATTCCATATGAATAGATGACAGATCGTTTACACGAAATCCGTTCTTTCTAAAGATTGCAAGGTATCTTTAGATGTACACAGTTCATGTAGACGGATGTAATGTCGAGGTAATGGTACTTAAAAGTATACGCTGGAGAAACGGACCATTTTGTATAGTCACAGATCACCAATGATTTCCCCATTGACTTTAATGTTAATTCTAGTCTCTTAGACCGATTCTAACTTTTTCCCAGATTTTCGTTGGGTAGAACGCTTTCTACCACAGATGGAGCAACATGTGGCAATCTCTTGTTCAAAAACACGTATGGGGTTTATCATGAAAAACTTGAGATACACAAGCTGGAAGAAGAGACAAGTTTAAACATGCAATTTTCCGCGCCCTACATTTCAACCTAACCAACCTCTCAACTCTTGTATCCTTCCGCCTCAAAATCATGAATATTCACCAAAACCTGGCAGAAAATCTATATTCAAATCAGATCTTTATAAAAATTGTACTAAGGGACGCACACAGTGCATATAGACCGAGAGAAATGAGTCGCATTTAATGTCGCGGCCATTGCTAGACTAAGATATGGTCATATTCATTTCCATGGTTACGTATACAATGGAGAAACGGTACAATCTGCGCATACAGTGGTATTTGCGCCTACTCTTTCTTCGAATCTCAGCTGTTAAGGGTGCTTTACGTAGATGACAGCATGTGCACAGGTCGACCTCGGTTTTTCGTCCCGTCCAGAAAACTAGATCCACTTTCCATGTCAGTTCAGTAGAAACCACCCCCTGACAATTGACAAATCTGAAAGTTTCTTCTCTGCCTATATCCGGGATTCGAACCTATACCATTCTAGTCCCGGTTCTATTACCATTATTCGGAGAGGCTGAGGGCGAGGTGTCTGACACATGCGCAGTAGATCATAAGACATGTACAAAGGACTTAATCCATTTGTTAAGGCCAGCTCTATTTTTGTCAAGGTCGCTGAGATGTAAATAAGGTAATGGCACGTGATTGTTGGCGAAATTGTAGGTTAGGATTATGGTAAGCATTAGGGCTAGGTCCAGGGTTAGGGTTAGGGTTGGGATTAGTGCTAGCCCTGTTTACATCTTGTGACCTATGACGATAAATTGAGCTGGCCTTATCATTTAGCACTGATAATGTACAAAGCCAGATTTGCTATGAGAAAGAAATGGTGGTTAACGTCCACTCGACACAAACTTGGTCATTTCGGGACTAACATATGGTTTTAAATTTTATTTCAATAATTTGCTTGCGCATATGTGTATTTAGCAGTGGGAGGAAACCGGAGGACCCGGAGAAAACCCATGAAGTTGGACAGGCGACCCTACTCCTTGTTACGTACAACCGGGGATTCGAAACCACGCCAGTCGACTCAATGACAGACTTTATGATACAGCGCGCGCACGCTAACCATTCAGCCATCCCCCCCCCCAGATTTGATATGAGAATATGATAGAAATTTGATCACAGAAGGGATTGTCTATATTAATTATTTGATATACTTGAAGTGGAGATCAAATGTATATGAGCGTGCACAGATGCAACATCTGGAATACATAATCCGACATGAAACAGAAAAGCTTTCACGACATTTTGTTTAGCGTGTTTACGTTGCAAATTTATATTAAAATATATAAAATTAAACACACTTTTTATATTAAAATTATTGGTTTGAAATAAGTTGTATTGCGTGTCGACAAAATGATTGAACGCAGTCCTGCGTCAGTTTGAATTATTTGCTATTTAATTTTGATATTTGCTATTTAATTACGTCAGTTTGAATTATTTGCTATTTAATTTTTTTTTAAAGATACATTATGTAAGATTTAGATAAAGAGCTGACCATTCTTGCTGTAATAGTTCGAAAATAGATAATGTAAAATGAAAATATTGAAACTTTCACTTAAAGATACATTATGGGAGATTCGATAACGCGTTGGCAGTTCTCACTATAATAGTTAGACACTAGATAACGTAAAGGCAATTTGCTGAAAATTTCATTCAAATTGATCCACTATGAACCGAGAACGAAGCGAATGAAATTTCTGTCTAGCCTCGGTCATCATTATTAAAGTCAGTACGATAAACAGCATAGTCTCGATTATCCATTTAATCGTTTAATCGAGAAGGAAAGTTATGCAGTAAATCGGCTCACAATCCACTTAAGATCGCAGGCTAGCGATGCCATCTAGAGTTGATTATGGTCTGGATAAGTTAATTAATGTCTAATTAATAATTTAGATAACATTTCAGGCCTAAAGAAAGACCTGCAATAGACAGATTTAGCTCTTGCATAATGTATGTTTAAATTACATTATTCTGAGCCAAGATATCATTGTTTGTAGTTTTGACAAGATGTGTGCAGTGTGGTAACCAGGGCACTGATATATTCGAGACTTAGCCTCGCTTTCTCATTTTTAAATCAAATTTTCAAATGGCGAACCGGGTGCTCCGGTTTAACCCCACTGCTAAAGACCCTACGAGCAAGCGAATTATTGAAATAAAATTGAACCATGTGTTAGTAGCGAAATGACCTAGTTTTATGTCGAGTGGCCGTTGATATAATATTGACATAAACAGTGTCCCTATTATGTCGGGAAATTATTATAGACACAATAGGTATAACATATAGACATTAATTGTATCAAAATAGGTGAACATGATTTTAATGTGGTGTTTGGTCAATAAGCATGTCTGTACGTACATAATGGGTGTATGGTTAAAAAGCATGTCCGTATGAACATACATTAATATTGTCGTTTTAACCCCCGTATTAATCATTGACCGTTAATTACTTCATTAAGAAAATTTCAATTAATATGTCAGTAATCGGGTTGTGTTAGGTGACAGGTTTTGCTCGGGGGCGTTTCCTCATCTTATCTTTTCATACGAAGCCTGAGGCTCCACTATAATCGGTAGACTATGCGTAATATGTATTAATTAAAGTCGTCATCTAATGGATTCTGAATCCCTAATAGACTAAAATATTTTAATCTCCAAATGAAATATTAGTCCAAATAGTTTTCATATTCGTTCAGTATTTACTAAGAAACGACGAATAGAAGTGAAATGGAGTTTAACGTCCTACTGTTCTGGGGGGGGGGGGGGTCTGAATGGTTAGAACGTGCGCGCTGTAACATAAAGTCTGTCATTGAGTCAACTGGCGTGTTTTCGATTCCCCGGTTGTAGGTGACAAGGAGTAGGGTCGCCTGTCCAACTTCGTGGATTTTCTCCGGGTCCTCCTGTTTCCTCCCACTGCTAAAGACCCATACGCGCAAGCGAATTATGGAAATAAAATGGAACAGTATGTTAGTCCCGAAATGACCTAGTTTGTGTCGAGTGGACGTTAAACCCATCCCTCTCTCTCTCTCTCTCTCTAGTCTCTCTCTGGTCATTCGGGTGGGACGAAAACAGGTTCCATTTACACATTATCGTGCACTTGAATAAACTCTTGGAAAACAGTATAAACTATTCCTTTATTATTCTACTTCCAGGGAAAATTTTCCGGTGTGGTTTCCCCTTTTCAGTGGTACAGGGATAGCGTATAGTCGTTCGAATGGTACGAAAAACCGAGGTCCTGTCTACACATTGACGTGTTGGAATTCGATATACGAGTGGGCCGTAGCGTGTCTATCCAGGTAAAATTTCCCTAATAGCGCACTGTATGCTGCGCATGCCAGTCTTCATTATATATAGCCCAGTCGGAACAAAACAGTAGGACGTTTAACCCATTTCAGTTCATTTCACTTCAACCATGGGCCTTAAAATACATGTATTATCAGGCCCATGCTTCTATGAAACGTGTAAATTTGAACTTTCTTGTGATTTGGCTGATGTAGCTGATGAAATTCAAAGTTTTATTTAGGTCCCAATACACGCCACAATCATTCACGATGTTTCAAAATTACTCGTCGGACCCCCGGGTCCCCGCTAACCAAGTAACCACAGGCGAACAATTTTGAGTAAATTCTTAACTTAATTCTGAGAATGCTTTGTGAACCCGGAACCAGATCTATAAAATTGTTGATGGTATTGTCAGGCTATTGTTGGCAATGTTTCCATGGTAAAATACTGGTAAATATGGTAACATCACACGTGTCAATAGGTTGATAGACTTTCACCTGTTAGTTCTACCATTAACTCAATAACCCAATCTAAATATTTATCTTTGGTATATTAATAGTTGATATGAAGAGCTTGATGCTGACATTTACAGTTATAATACCTCTATCACTACACCTAAATATTTTACTTATATTCTCAAATGCCATTTCATAGTTCATTTGAAAGGTCATCATCTGGTCAGTGATTACCATAACAATAATTTTACAATAAAAGGTCTACATGCATTTAATACTAAATAAATGATGAGAGTTTTTCTTTAGATATTTTCTGCAGGAATAATATGCGCCGGTTTTTTTTACTGATATTTTCTGTGGGAACAAATGGTGCGACGTTTTCTGTGAGAATCTCTGATATTTTCTGTGGGAACAAATGGTGCGACGTTTTATGTGAGAATCTCATATATTTTCTGTGGGAACAAATGGTGCGACATTTTCTGTGAGAATATCTGATATTTTTGGGTGGGAACAAATGGTGCGACGTTTTCAGTGAGAATATCTGATATTTTCTGTAGGAACAAATGGTGCGACGTTTTCTGTGAGAATATCTCATACTTTCTGTGGGAACAAATGGTGCGACGTTTTCTGTGAGAATATCTGATATTTTTTGTGGGAACAAATGGTGCGACGTTTTCTGTATGGTGCTACGTTTTCAGTGAGAATCTCTGATATTTTGTGCGGAAATACATGGCGGTACAAACTCGAGGTGCGCTGATAATGTATTCATTGGTTAGATATCGCCTCGGTGGAAGCGGACGTAAAATACAACTAACACACACATAGATCTTAAACCTAACTTACAACTCGCCAAAAATTGGGTTGGCCTTA